TCTTGGCAAGATTTCGAAAATGGTTTGCCACTGTCTCCTTCTTAGGACTGAAAGAGAGGGACTGGCCCAAGATCACCCAGCTGGGTTCGTGCCTAAGGTGGGACTAGAACTGTGAGTCTCCGTTTCTAGCATGGTACCTTCGCCACTAGACCAAACTGGCTCTCTTTTAAGACTATACTATGTTGAAAAAGGAGGGTGCATCACACACATGAAGAACAAAGAGGAACTAAACCTTACCAAATCATCTGGTTGAATCTTCTTCTCTATGCATTAGTCATGTTTACGTGAAGAGACTAAGAATTATGAAAAAGTTCAAGAAATATGAATCAAAGAGCTCTGAGATGCTAATGCTGCAACAGTTGAAAAGGAAGTGACATAAATAACAGAACTATCTTGAAGCACGTATAATGGCAGAGAGAAGACAATGGAGCCTGCCAAAACTTAAGGTTTAAAACATTCTCTGCACAGGCACTGGAAACCCTTTCGTGGTACCTAAAGAAGAATACTTTTTTAAAAAAATCATGACCGATGAGGACAATTATATATCTATGGGGAGAGAATTCCATTGGAGGAAATATGTGGTTCTGAGCAAAGGATAATCTCATCATTTTTATTATAGCATTCTTACACCAGAAATCCTCTGAGTGGATGTTCTTGCAGCCACTAGGGAAAGGGTCATACAAACAAACAAAAACCCAACACTATAGTGATCAGGGGCTGAAATGAAAGCTGAGGTGGCACTCACCATACTACAGACAGCCTCCATAAAAAAGCAATGCAGGCCTAAGGTGGTCATTCTAAAACAAAAACAAAAGCAAGAAAGAATGTGATATTTTGCATCTCTTTTCTGCAGTCTGCAAATGGGATGAATGTTGTATTCTCAGTTTTTGCACCAGGAACACTAGAAAGAAAGTAGCTGAAATGGTAGTGGCTTTGGTAAACTCTGACGTGACCTGATATTGTACATTATTGTTGGCTAGAGGATAAGACAATGCAGTGATGGCAATAACACATTTTGCAAACACTGAGGCATAACTGGCAATCCTTTCCTGTTATCCTAGAAAGACATAAAAATCCATCTGGCACAACTGAAGGGTTTAAGTAAAAAAACAAAGCTCTGTAATAAGAATTCAGGGGAGTAAAAGGTATTGGGTAGAAAGTACTATACAGAGCTTCATTAAGGATGTAATGTTTGGAAGAAAGGTGATATCTAGCCCTAATGTCAGCAACTTTGACTGTAGGTTCAGAGTTTGCGAGGCACCCTGAAAGTATAAGGAAAGGCTCTATGCTGAAAAAAATAGTATACTTTGGGCAGATACTTCAGAAGGTTTTAAGAGAGGGGATACAAAGCTTAATGTGAATATGGAATGCCGAAATGGTCAATAGGTACTGTATATCCCCAAAGAGGTTAGGGCTAAAGCCTTAGAAGAATATTACAACACACAAAAGATTGTTTGAAGGGTTCAATTAATCAAGTGCAACCCCAACTGGAAATACATTTGGACTAAGCAGACCACTTGGCTTTGTAGAAGTTGCAAGTTGATTGTTTTTCTGCTACTATCAGAATATTTCCTGATTCCAATGGCAGGAATCAGTCAATGAAGTAGAAGAATGATAGGATGGGATGAAGAATGTTTCCTTGGTACCAGACGTTGGAAGCCCAAACAATGGTCAAGAACCAGAGTTGTCTGGGCCATGGGATGATTAGAATGTATGGAAAAATCTTGAGGACAAGCTTGTTGAATAACCTCATGAGCAGAGAATTACTGAGAAACAAGTAATCCAAAGTAGAAGGAATAGAGCTTCTTAGGCTTCCCAAATTCAGTTTAATTTGCAAAACTTACATTTTTGCAGCAAATAGGCTAAGAGATGGTGTTATTCCATTTTGTGAAGATTATGAGCAACTGTGGGGTTTAGCGTCCATGACTGAATTGCTGAGAGCATCTATCTCATCTGTGACTGAGAAAAAAATGTACATGGGTGTTAAGTGATGGTAGACACACTAATTCTAGAACTGGACAATAAGATGTGTGGGATGTGCTACCATTGCTTGATATAAAAAACAACACTCAGAAGCTATTTGCAACACTACTTTGTGCTGAAGGGGATGACTGAGGGAACTCACTTTTTTTAACACTGTAAATAGTTCCAGACAGCTGATATGATTGGTACCCTCAGGTAAACTCATCCATCCTGAAATGACTGACCTAAATATCTCTAGACATAGAAGCACTGATGGTGAGGAATACATAAGGAAAACCCCTTTATCAAAATCCTTAATACTAATCCCATAAAATAAACTGATTTACCAACTGGGTCATAGTTAGACATGCATAGAGAAAATAGTGTGTGGATGAAAACAAGACCTGCTGCTGAAATAATCTAATGGGAAGTCTGAAACATTGTTTTAGTGATGAAGACACTGCTGTCAATCATAAAAAGCCTCTGAGTATGGAAAGCAGGGATGAAATTCCAAGACTGAGTCTCAGTTGCAAGGCAAGAGTGGCTCAATGCTTTGTTATAAGAAAGTTGTGGCCTGACACAAATCCAAACTTATTCCAAGAGGATGGATGGGGTTGGCTGCAGCTAAGATTTCTTCTGGTTGATGGAATGTATCTTTTGGATGTGAATTTAAAGCAAAAATGTGACTGGGCTATGATCAGCCAATCATCCCTATAACAAATATCCGGATCCACTTAAGGTAGAGGTGAGCGGTGTCTGGTGGCAGGTGATTAGTGAAAATGCTCAGTGTAGTGCAAAGGTTGAAAAGGAGTATCTAATACGAGAAGATTTGGCTAAGGGAATGAGAAAAAAACCTAATGCTAAGGCTGGATTGCAAAATAAATGTAAGCAGATAAAATTAAAAAAACCAGTCTCCTTGACAAAGCAAGGAAAAGATGCTGAACAGAGTAACCATCTGGAATCTTCTTATTCTGAACAGAAGTTTAGATCATAGAGATCCAATATTGGTCTCAACCCTCTGTTTTTTCCCAAGGAAATACTGAGAATAGAATTCATGTGAAGCAGACTTTATAAAATTGGTTTATGTGCTTCTTCAAGAGTTTGGAGATTTCAGAATGGAGGGTGGGCAAGGATAGGGCGTGTTAAAGAATATACAGTGGTGGAAGAATATTGAACTCTTATTGCTTAGCCAAGAATCTGACATTGGTGGTATTGGAACTAATACCAGTGAAACAAATAAAGACTACTGTTGGTACCAGACGAACAGATACTAAAGGTAAAGAAATTAGTAGTATTTGTTGTGCCAGCTGCAGTTTAAAAGGTGGATCTGAAAATCTTGATATCATGGCAGAGGCTGCTTACTGGCACAGCAGATATAGGAGAGTAAAATGTCTAGTGTAGTTCAGCCCCGTAGAAAAAAGGATATAAACTATGATATTGATCATCTATATAATGTTATCTCACAGTGTAATACTTCTCTGTAAGGAGTAATAAAATTGTGAGAGTAATCATCCTAGCACCTGTCTCTCCAGTAGGGTAGTTGGATGAAGTAGGAGGCTGGCAATGATGTCGATCCGCTAACAAGGCAGTGAAATCACTCCTAAAGAGAATAGAACTGAGAATAGATTGGATAAGTCATTGGCTGAGAAATCAAAGGCAATGGTTCTATAATCTCCCAATCTGAGAAACACAATTGTGTCAGCTTTTGTCTGTTCAGTATAGCTAGTGGGGTGGAGACAGTTAATTAGACTCAAGAAATTGTGATTATGATGTCAATAGAATCAAAAGGGATGGTAATTCCTTTGGAGTAACAGAAATCTAGTGAGAAATGCTATGTGACATTGTTCCCTCTTTTAGAAAACTTCTCTCTTTGGGAGTGTTTCAAGGAATAATAGTTAGATTTTTTTTTTGGTTTTTCTATCTGGAAGAAGGAATGGTAACTGATTTCCTTTATGTTACTGGAAGCACCTGGAAGATAGTGGGATGGCTTAATAAGGATAATGCCATACCAACCTGTTGTGATTGAAAGACTGTGGAAGATAACGGTTGTTTTCAAGTAGTTGAACTTGAGAGAATTGGTATCGCCTGAAATAATTTTAAATAACTTAGAGATGGTTGAAAAGAAAGCATTTTCTTACAAAACTGTCCAGAGTTGGAACAAATTATTTCTACTTGCCTGTTTTATGAAGCACTAGCAGTGTAGTGCAGTATAAATGAAACACAAGAAGTAATCATGAGATAATAGTAATTTTGTACCACATTTTTTTCTAAAGGGGTTTGATATCATACACCTTGCAAATTCTGCAAGGGGAAAGAAGATTGTGATGAGAGTTGATGACAGGACAAAAGAACAGATAGCGACAATCATTTACATTAAGTTATTCTTCTAATGGCATGAAGGGGGTGTGTTTGAAAATTGCTTAGGAGAATTAAACCAGCATATCTATTAGGAATCTATAAGTCCATGCTTTCTACTACTACTGTTCATACAAGGATAGATGGAGAATACTATCAGGCACTGGGAACAATACCTTTGTGTAAAGTTGTGCCATGTCCTGTAGTGATTAACCAGTATTCATATTGGTACAACTGTTTGGGTAGCAAAATACTCTAAGGAATTGCCTGAAGTTTATCCTTGGCTTTTCTCAATAAGAAAAGTTATAAAGGTACCTACCCAAGTTGAGGACATTGTCTGGATAACTATAATTTTTCTGGCTCTGGCTTATAGTTGTTTTACTTCTCTGGTTTATCTCATACAATAGTTTGGTACCTGGCTTTACCTCCTAAATCTTCTGTTTCTTAGATTTGATTCCCCCAAGCTGGAATCTCTGAGCTCAGCCACTAATCAATTTTTGTTAGTGACTGACCACTGACAACCAGGATCCAAATTCTACTTGCTACAGACAAGCAAAATATGCTTCTATGTGCATAGAACAGGTAATATTTCTTCCAGTGGTAGCCCTTCTTATGAAAAGTTGCTTGGCAGATGCCCCTCCCCCCAAATGAACATTTCAGTAAAACAGTAACAAAACACTAACCCAGTAATGCTCTTGAAAAGCCTCCAAATAACTTTCTTCTTTTTCTTTGGTTATATGTTCATTTCTAAACTCAAGCTTGGGAAGAATTTGTCTTAAGACACTAGTACACTGTCGATGCCATCGAGTTGGAAGATGTGATCGCCATTCCATTATTTTATTTTTTAATGTTCTTTCAATTCTGTTTTTCAAAGAAAGATAGGATTTTTATTATCATTATAGTCATTATACTGTTAATTTATCTATTGGTAAAAAAAAAGCAAATACTATTTTGTATGAAGGGTCTTTATGATCATGAAACTTTTGAACTATTTTCTGACCACTTCCAGATGTAATGATATTCTGAACACAGTGTACAGCTTGTGAAGGGGCATCAGATGTTAGTTTTGTTGGAAAAAATTACACAGCTAAAGTAGCTACAGAACAAGCTGGAACAGTGGAAGACGCTGAATTAAAAAACTGAAAAGGAAATGCTGTTAATAGGCTCTGTCTTTTGAATAGCACTGTTGCTGCTGCAATAGATAAAGACAAGTGAATGGAATTGAATTTATTCTGAAGTTTTCTTCTGACCAGCAGACAGAAAGAAGAAAGAAATCAGCATTGGAAGATGATAAACAACTGTCACTATAATGGGATAAAATTTCCACATACAATAGTTCTGTTTGTTGGGATGTAGCCTTCACAGTTCCAGAGAAATAGATTTAATGCTGTGGGAAGTGCTTTTAAAGACTGATTATTTTTTTTAAGTGTCTTAACTTTTTTGTTAATCATCCTGTTCATGAAGCTTGGGGAAAGTTGGGTATAGAAAGTGCAAGCTGAAAAGGAGTGTGGATTCCTTTTGGAACTTGCAGTAGGAGGGAGATCACCTTACTTTTTTTTTTAACTTAAAAAAAAAATCCCTTTTGTAGCAGCATGATTGCTGTTCATCTTCGTGTACTTCCTTGGAAAGAATGAATGTGGCCATACAATAAAAAAACAATAAAAATAACATTAAAAGCATTACAAATATAACCACAAAGCTAGACAGCATTAGAAGGTCTAGGTAAATACATAATTTGAAACTTTTCCTAAACTATAAAAAGGAAGGGGCCTGATCCAACCCCAGGAACAATTTGTTTCAAAACATTTTTTTAAAGTGATCAGAATAATATGTAGTTTGGCACTGAGTCCCTCAACTTTAAAGATTATTATTAATCAGAGTAATTACCTATTTTGTAACTCATCTACTAAATGTTCATCAGTCGACACATATAATATTTTTTCTGGCTGAAACAGAATAAAAAGAAATTGCACAATCATGGAACATTCAGATGCAAGCTAACCAAGATTTTGACAGATATTCTGAACTCATTATTTCTCAATACTGAAAAAGGTATGCTTGGAAAATGCTACTCTTATTTAATACTTAGTGTTTAGAAACATCATAGATAAAAACTTGTCCCAGTAACAGTAATATCTACAACTGTTTTCCTAATATGAAAAACTGCTGTTTTACTCTGAAGACTGCAAAACTTCATATTCCTTCTTCCTTAACATCTTTTCCCTCACATAGAGAAAGGAAACTGAATTTTATTCAGTTCTTAACTGCCAAGGCTTATGTTCCTGATAATCAAGGCTGATGCTGGGATGCAGGAACAGACATCCCAAATCCTAACATTCCATTCAAAGATACTCTCTCTCTCTCTGAAGTGATAATCAGCTGTGTCTTCTCCACTGATCTGAAAGTGTTTGAAGGGTATGGAAAATCATCCTTCTGGGCTACTGCTGTTAAACCCTCCTGTCTATCAGAGATTATTTGAATCAGTAATGTAACAAAATATTCTTGCAGTTGCAGTTTGAGGAGTTGCTGCTAGGAGTGAGACCTTTCCCCAAACAGAATGAAGGAAGGCAGGCAGAAAAAGCTCTTCTTGGCAGCTGAGAACTGGCTTGAGTTGGAGAGCAAGGTGGCTTCCAAGCCTGTTTGCAACTCACATAAATACTTGCATATCATCTGATGGACGTGTCCCTTAGAATGATCTCAGAGTCATATACTTTGTCTCCAATAGAAATGGTAAAAAACAGTAAAAGAGTTGATTTCACTGAGGACTGGTTTCGTATTTTGTTCCTAGGTTTCTAGACATTTTCCCATTTTCAATCTGTAATCTTATCCCTTTCACCAACAGATAAATAAGCCCCATTTAAATATTAGAGCACTTTGTAGGTTCATTCCTATCTTACAGGCTTTCCCCATGACTTCTTGCTCTTGACCTTGTTTTACTGTATTCAGAGGTTAAGCAACAAAAATGTTCCGCATCTGGCCAAGAGTGTCTGATAAACAAGAAATGATGGCTGTAAAACTGCTAAGAAAACTTTGGATATCATTAGATAGCTGTTCTGTGTGCTTCCCAAGTCAGAAAAACTGTTCCCAATACTGCTTGTATGCTCCAGCTCCTTAAATTTTGATTATGGACCCATGGCCAGCGCTTGTTTTACTATAGCCAAGTTTTTCTTGTCAACAATGCATATAGCCCCAAATCCAAACTGCTAAAAAACCACATAGCTGATTGTGTTTGCCATTTGCATTTCTAGAAGCAACAGTATGATTCACACAATTATAGAGATAACATTACTGTCAGGGTAGATAGTGCTAGAATGTTTCATTAAATGTTAAGCAAATTTATCCCATCTTATCCTGAATCAGAGTGGCTGGCAATATCTTAATACTAGTTCCACTGGGCCCTTAATCTACTTTCCTTATATCTACCTCTTTCTACAGACATCCCATTTTTAAGGGAATAATCCCCCCCCCCATGTAAACATTTTCAGCTTAATTTCTTCCTTCAACTGTAAATTATAATTTATAGATACACACTGAAATACTTCCTACCTGCACTGTTTGTGCTTTTGAATTCTGGAAATTGTATGGAAGCAATTGTTTCCAAAAGCCTTCCTTTGAAATGTCAAAACTGGTGCACATTGGTGAATTATTTTGTTGTATGTTAAACCAGACCTATAAAATATTATTTTAAAAATGACCTACAAAACATTATTTTATAAATCTAACTCAATCTAAAAAACTAAATATGTT